GCTCATTACGTTACCCCCACCCCAACTTTGATAAGCTTTTTTTAAAGAAAATAACGCAACTGAAAGTTTATAACGTTTATGAACTCCTCAAAGTCACCACGTACGTACAGTGCATAAATATCAAACCACTAACCTCACGAGCGTATCCAGCTTCCATAAAGTTGCAAATTGCAAGAACAAAACTACCAAAACAATATTGAAGGACAATGGAAGGGAGAAAACGTATACGCATCATACATATTCAAACTCACAAAACCTTGATTGATGTAGAACAAATTTGAGCAGATTAAAACTACGGTCGATCAGTATAAAACTAGACATACGTACGCGTACTTTAATTTGTTTCTTCAGACAAATATTGTTACCTTAATCATGTGACCTGAGTAGGTGTAAATGAGACTGACTACCTCTCCCTTTGAAGTAAATGCACAAAAGAAACTAGTAAGACTTTGAGAGCGCGTGCAGTAGTTAGTACCTAGAGCAGGATCAGAATGACAAAAGAGAGCGAAGGGATCTATCTATTCATCTATCTGATCGTTTGTCCAATCAGTCAACCTCGCTGAATTTATTACAAGAGGTTCGTCTGTTTCCAAGGGAGAAAAAACAGAAGTCAAGCAGTGAAAAAGATTGAGTAAACAGTAATTAAATAAAATTCAACTCGCTTCTTCCTTTTCATAAGTTGAATAGAGAGTGACAGAGAAACCGAGGAGGAGCAACAGCGAAAAACTATAAAAAAAAAAAAAAATTAAAACGGTCGCTTCACTGGTTAAAAGGATTGCACTCCCAAAACTTCCATCAGAATCCAAATTCTATAACATTGATCTTTATGGACAAAAACCTACTCCCACCCTCTTCTCCTCATCCACCCCGTCCTATTCTGCCAGGGCTAATCCGATCCTATCCTACATAAATGACTGTGGCTCCTTCTCTACTAAGCTCAACCATGCTAGCTGCGTTAGTACAAATATAATATTAGTATTAAATCCGTGCGTTTGCTGTGGATATTATTTATCAAATTAATTATATTTATTGCCAAATTGATAATATAACTTTCATATATAACTACTTATAAAAACATCATCGATCATTTTTTATTACTATTTACAGAGTGCATTTTCAAATCAGTCAATAAAGTAATACACTAATTAGCACGTTTTATTAATTTTCTGTAATAAAGCTAGAAAAACTTTATATTTGTGAAATATCTGATAGAAGTTAAATTCATCATTCGCAAGGGACATGTATTTGTAAAATAATACAATAAGAGTCCTGACAAAATGACCTCAACCCACTTAAGTGGCCCAAGCCCAACAGAGGTCTCGACCCCCACCGACACATCCAGTCGACATTCTTTCATGTCAACGCGAAAGGCGGGATCAGTCGACCCTATTGTTGAGGATGACCCCCTAGGACACTTGACCGTTCACTTGGAAACTAACGGAGATGACTTGACGGACATACCTTGATGTCGACTAAGTTGAGGACTCAACCATTGCCTCAAGCCTCTCCCCAAGAGCATATGTTAGTATTTCAGTTCACCTCGGATAAGCCTTATCCAGATTTTGGCCTGATGGTCTCCAAGACTTGTCAGCTGCCCACGTGCCTTCTGTCACGCTTTCAATCACTTCCCGAAAAATGTGAAGACAACATCCCCTGTGCCGAAGTGACTTCGTCGCCTGCCGACACCTGTAAAGCGATGGATGACTCGGCTCTTAGCCCGCACTTCATCACTGCCTCCCTATACATAGCTAGAGGTGACCTATTTATCCGAACGACAGAGATATATACAGGGAGACTCCGAACCTTTGAAAGGGAGGACCCCCTAAGAAAATAGCTCAAGCTAAGGCTTACTCTCTCTCTCTCTAAAAAGAAAAAGAACCCACAGTTCTTCGTCTAGACAAAGAAGCTCACGTAGATCCTCTGGGCATGCACTTTGCCACTTCAAGAACCACATTGGTTCTTGACATTCCTCTTCCCTACTCGAGTTTTACTAACTTGACTATCGGAGGAACCACGGGAGAACCGGTCACCGTCCTCTCACGGGTTCTTCTTGGCTGTGCAGCTTAGACATCAAGCCCCTGTTCGAGAACCTGGCATAAAGTCAAAGAAGGAAGCGGCCCCTCTATCACTCTCCCCTACCACGTTCCGACGTGGACCCAAGCAGGACCGATCCAGTTCCGGATCAGAACGACCCCAGTCCGGATCCGATTGACTGTTTGGTCGTAGTCAACTTAAGTGGATAGCAAAAAATTATCCACCAAACTTTTTAGTCATTGATGTTGCCTAGGGATCCATGAAATATATGAAGAGAATTTTTTTATATATAAATGAGTGGCTAAAAAGTTTTTGTTGGGCATCCATTTAAGTTGACATACGATCAACTCTACAGACACACACACACACATGAACACATGAACAGTGCTTTCAACGTTAAAAAATGTTGCGGGAGATAAATGGCAAAAAATTACTGTAGCATATGGAGCATGTTTAGGGTTAAAAAATTATATTGTAGAATGGACATGAGTTGTAATGTTCTGAATCGTGCTATAGTAAAAACAGTATTTAATATAGTAAAAACGGTATTTAATATAGCATGAATAGTGATTTTGAGGTTTTGGTTTTAGGTTAGAAGTACTAGATGTCCAATGTTGCTCATGTTGAGATGCGACTTAGAATTAATGAGCTAATTGGATATAAGAGGCGTTAGTGCGTTAAGAAGTAAGGATTTAGAAAAGCAAACACACCAATTAAACCTAAAGATAAAAGGCCCAAAAAGGAGTAAGGGATTAGGATGCTCATCCCCTTCACGCTTATTATCGTTCAGATTGTTTACAGTGATCGAGAAACCCATTACTATTAACTTGTCTCATACCACCAGCCACAAAGCTAAGTCTACATCAAATGGATACCTAATGCCACTACTGTAGAGGAAGCTGACAACATGGTAGATTATATTATATGTATAGACTATAGAGAGAGGGAGGGAGGTGAAAGGAAACTGAAACGCTTTTTTCTCTCTTTTTTTTTCTTTTTTTTTTGTTCTTTCTTGGGTCAGTGGCACCCAAAGCAGCAGTGACATTGGTAGGGTTGTCAGACTCAGGGGTTAGGTTTCATAAACCAGTTTGCACCTTTGAATATAATGGAGGTCGCATCATTTTCCTTATGTGGCTCCCTACGGTACGAGAGAGAGAGAGAGAGAGAGAGAGAGAGAGAGAGAGATGGGACGGGGCAGGGCGTGAGTCGTCAAAACCCACCCTTTCTTTCTCCAAATTATTATACAAGGAAGCCTTCAAAGGCGAGCGAGGGGGAGAGAGGGAGAGGACCACCGCTTCAAAAGTCAAAAACAAACAAAACCGTCAAAGATCAAAAGGCGTGCACAGGGAAGTATACCGTGTGTGCAGCGTATTGAAAAACAAACAAACAAGGGACGATGAGACCACGGCATGAGTGAGAGCACGGAAAGTCTCCCACATGAGCAGCCTCGGACTGCTTGTCCTTTACTTCGAGATGTCAAATATTCTCCTCACGCATCTCCCATTCGTCGTTCCCTTCTCGTCCCTGATTTTTTAAACAAGGGATCATAAAATCAACTGCTAAAGAAACACGAACCCTCACCTGCAGGCTTATGAAACGACTAATTAGTGACGATGATCAACGGCTGCTAGTAATGTGTTATAATACTTTCTCAATTATATGTGCTAAGAACGATTATACATCATGATCGCAGCTCCCAATAGTCAGTCTCCGTTACCTGCATAAATACGTCGGTTTCTATCGGGCGTCGAACTCCTACCAAGGGCAAATTTGCGTGACTTTTGAGTAGGAGAGGAGATCTTTTGTTTGTAGAGCTAAAGCTCCAAAGAATACGCAAGCACTAGTCCTAACTCACTTGCACCAATAATTTTTAAGACGGAGACAAGTTAATTGTTAAGGTCTGGAAAATGCTATTAATGGAACTAGTCTAATGTTGTTTTCTTGTGAATCAAGAGAAGGAGAGTTACAATATATATATATATACAGGTAACTATCGATCACTACAGCATGTTGACAATATAGCTAATATACCCTCACAGAAACGTAAAATCAACTAAAGTCCCCCCAGTCTTATCACTTTCCTCCACGCAACAAACCGTCATGCTACCCTTCCATAATTAACTATAAGAACTACTACTTCTACACACTTGAGACTTTGTAATTTCCTTACTATAACAACCGCAATCTAAATCCTTTTCAAAAATTATAGAACAGATCTTAATGAGAACTTCAAAAATAAGTTCACCTCATCTATTGTCACCGCCTATTTATTGCCATAGTTTGTGTACCCATCCCATTCTCTGCGGTCGGGAAAAATACACTAATACACAATTATCAATCCTCACCTCCCCAGACTACCATATCTGGGTGTTAAAAAGTTCTGGGACATGATCAATTCAGCTGACCTTGGTCCTATCCTTCAACGTGGTTAGACCCATTTTCTGCAACCTATTAGGGAACATGGAATCAAGCCATTGCCTCACATTAAGCTCCAACCTTGATTATTATAATAATCAATGGTAATTGATGTTACAGTGTTGGGTTGAGTTTGTGGGTGGAGAGGGGGAGGGGGGTTGCAAATTCTGTTTTAAAGCATAAGCAAGTCTCAATCACAGCCATGGCTATCCAAAACGCATCTAACAAACTATGTAGAAACAGAGGAAAGTGTGAGGGGCACTGGTAGCTTAAGGGCATGTTCGGATTTCAATGTGGTTAAGTGAAGTTAAGACAAACTAGGTGAGAGGAGAGTAGGCAACGGAAGAGAGTTCTCTTCCCCTTAGTTACACCCCAATTTTGGGGTAACAAACTTTATACTATAAGGGGGTGACCTAAGGGGAATTAGGGTGAACAACTTCACCTCCTAAATGTTCCCGAACAAGGTGAATGATTCCCCTAACTTCCCTTCTTTTTATTCCCCTCAATCTAAACAAGCCCTATAAGACGAGCAAGGAGAAAGAAGAAAACAATCAAGCCTGAAGATATGAACTATGATAACAACGGTGTTCCATGGTTTTTGTCAACTCCTTGGGCTCAAACAAACAAAAAGGGATGCAAACGATCAAGCAATGGGGTCATGGACTAAGTTCAACCTTTGTCGACCATACCTTGCTCTCGAGTCATCTTTTCTTTTACCCCCCTCCAAGACTCCAATTGTTTCTGATCAATGACGAAATGCACAATCCAAGGACCATGTATCATCAAGGCTACGCAAATAGAGAAACTGGACGGCAACAAAGCCCAGCTACTTTGACCAACAAGGTGTTAGCACAACCATTCTGGGCTACAAAAACATGAGCGTTAGAGCACCCACAAGTAAGATCACATCACACCCACAAACAAGAGAAAATACGTGCTTACACTCAAGGCAATAACTCTGAGCTAAATATGGACCCAAGTGTTGGATGACTGGTAATATAATTAGCGATTGGAGGACTGTCCCACGACTCGTCCCCATATATAAATTACCAAACAAAGATTTGACTTCAGAAAGATCAATCTAAACGTCTAACCCACAAACACAGAACACAGCATAAAATAAATCATCTCTTCGTCCTAACTGAGGATTAGGATTAGAAGAAATACAGCAAACTGCATTAAGAAAGATAATTTGATAAAAATGACAGGACACCCTAATCTGACGGCAACAAAAACAAACCATTTAATGATTTAATCAGACATTATGCTCCATTCACGCTTAACAGAATAAAACCCAGTCGAGAACAGGAAGATATGAACAAATAAACTAGTTACACGTGAAATTATCCCTGCTATTAAAGAAATTCTAGGTAACATCTTGTAATTCATCAAGGGAAAAATATTCACAGTTCTACTGTATGCTCCTAGTACATCAATTAGAAATTTCCTTTCCTTTGTTTGGTTCTCATAAACACAAAAGTCTTGCCTAAATCCTGTATGTAAGCCGCAATTGTAAAGATTTTTAAGCTATATGGATTATTACGGAGTTATCCAAATATCACCATTTTACCAAGTTTAATAACAATCGATTATTATTGTTCACCAAGTAATGAAGAAGCAAGATGAGAAAATTACTGTCCCTTGGTTTGGGGTAAAGTATCCATAACAAACAACATTATGTTTCTTCCACTGACTGAACGTGTCGTGTAATCTCGTGAAGCCACATATTTAGAAGGCAGGGTGCTACTTAAAATCACTTAACAAGAAGACTCCGCCAAACAGAAACCCATTTCCGGAGGAATTAGCTTCAAAATAGTAGGGAAGAGAGGCATAATTCAAAATGCCAAACGATCCAAGTAAAATACAATATCATGTGCGTCAAGATAGTTTACTGTTCCGAAAACCTAAAACTCAAAATGACTTCCTTAATCTATTTGAATATCCATTAACCTTCCATGATAGCATCACTCACTTTATTATATAGGTTCCATGTTTAGATCGAATGGTCCAAAACTATGGTAGAAAGCTCCCCTAGCCACAAAGAATAATGCGAATTTTGTGACATATAAACCACTCAGAATCTAATTTTTGTATTGTTTTTGCGCATCATTCCAATAACTTACCTTCTTGGTGCCTAAAACCGTCTTATGTTACATCTTTCCGCTTTGCCATTAGCTCGTTTCTATTCAATCATGTTGGAATGGGCTACAGAGGGCCCTTTCTTGTCAACTGCACAGTGACAGAATAAGCCGAGAAAAGGCGGGTTAACGACCACATCATAGCCGTATCCCTAAGTGCTTCTAGTACCCTTGCAGGAGCTTCTTCCGCAAGGGCACGAGTGTGAAACTATGGCCTGCTCTCCGGAAAGTGAGGAAATCCCGCCTCCACAGTCGACGTTCATTTTCAGTAGTAAGGGGCCCTGATTTATTCAACAAGTCTGTTCATAAGCATTGAAGAACCTCTGTATGGACTAGACAGAGTCCAATGGTTCTCTTCATTTTCATTCCACCACATTAGGAATCTCCTTTTCGTAACTCTTATATCACCCCCTCATGATTCTAACTTGTTTTTGCTTCATATTTACCAAATTTTAACTTCTTCCATTATTGTGAAAGTTACAATGGCAACAAGTAAATTTGCTTAAAAAGTTCAAGTCGATTGGTAAGAATGGAAAAGGACAGGCATTACAAGGCACCTCAAGAGTAAACTTCATTGTAACTATCCCTATGGTGGAGTGATTGGAACTAATGAATCAGAAAGCAAAGTGACTGACAAAAAGTACAAGGTTCTAAGATGATTACAGCGCATTATGCAGGAACTACAAGGTTTAAGATATACAGGTTTGGAGTTTATGATGGTTGATAATGCAATGAACTTGAAATGGAATTTATGGGCACGAAATCAAGTTGGGGTTTGTTCACAAAGAATGAGAGAAAGCTATGCAGGATATATTTGTGGGTTTTTTTATAGAAACCACCTTTAAAATAATGTCATTCTATAAAAACCACCTTTGATTTTCAATTTATACATAAACCACTTTATAAGTTTTTTTTTTGTTGCAATCAACCACATGGACCTACTTTTCAGTTAAGTTTTTTTGATAATTGACCCTAGTCAACCTACCTAACCTCAATTAAGGATCATCTCTCTATATATTTGGTATTTGACAGTTAAATTATTACATCAAATCTGGGGGAAAAATTAACCTATAAGTAGGATCAGGTGGTTGATTTCAACAAAAAATAATTTAAAGGTGATTTACGTCTAAATTAAAAATGAAAGATGGTTCCTATAGAATAACCCTTTTTAAGGGTGCTTTCTATGAAAAACCCCTATATTTATTATGCTACATAGCCTACAATGCTACGAAAGTTTGTATCATATCCAGCATAGAGGAATAACTAATAGTTAAAAATAATCCATATGAAACTTTGTCTGAAATCCTCTCGTCTTACTGAAAATTTTATCAGGCATTTAAGTTCGTCTCACTACTGATTCATAGTATGCACTCTGCAACAATAAAGGGACATCCTAGGGTACTAGTAAATTGTCCACTCAATCACATATTAAATTTTCTAAATATGCTTTTTAAAAATCATGTTTCGATCTTAGCAAATATACTAGTTACGGATTGAAGATTTACAATTGCAGACAGCCAATAGTTAATACCCTTCTGCATAAGCATAAACCCTTATGCGGTACATATTTAGCAAGTTCAGTTATTGAGCATATCAGTATACAACTTCTTGATAAAGATATGTAGCATGTTACTTCAAACAATATGCATACGAAGGGGTTGGGTTAATCGGATCAGTTTTTGGTTTTGTGACACACTGGAAGCTTTCATTAGGGACATTTCTACAGTTAAGAATGTATTATTTGAGGTGCGGCCATGAGTAAGATAAACACATGAACCCTGTTTACCCTATGCTTTAGGGTAAGTGTAAGATTTTCTTTCCTACTATTCATCCAATAACCTATCAAAATTAAATATTAACTAATACTAATAATGGTTTATAATACTTGTTAGCCCGGCTTTAGCTATGTGTTTTGGGTGAAGTGTAGTTAATTGGTTTCTACATTTATGTCAATTTTTACGGTTATACCCATCAATTCTATACGTTAATCACTTAATTTTCTACAATATGAAATGAGTTTTTCTAAGGCTGATTCTTGTCTTTTTTAGTACAATATTCTTTAATCACTTAATTGTATGCTTAAAAGGAATTTTATTTCTATTAACACTACAAGACATGAGCCTCTTTTCTTTCATTATTATCTGGATACAGAAAATGAGGAGCTTGGAGTCTTGGCTGGACTTTAGATTGCAAATTGTGATCTCTACTTGATCTAATCCTTGACTGACTTATGTACATACATATGTATGTGTATCTACATATGCATGTGGATGTGCAAGTGCAAGTTCATTAGTCCGACTTTTTGAACAACCAAACCAATCCATTTCAAGTCAAACGTACATTTTCTTTTGTTTCTTTTTGCTACAAGGGTTCATGATTCTGGCTAGCACACCACTTTTCTCCTATGTACCATCATGGAGGCTTACACATAATGTTCCCTTTAAGACTAACCAAACCAATAAGACACTGAAGACCAACTAAACCTATTAATTGAAGTTAATATACATTTTCTTTTTTCCTTTTTTCCCCCTTATCTACAAGGGGATAGGATTCTAGCTAGCACATCAGTTTCCTTGGATACATAGTATAGATAGGTTCTGTGATTTACGATGCACACATCATCCCTTGAATCAAGAGATGTTACCTTTCGAAGTTAAAAGATGATCTGCTGTCAGCTTCTCAGCAGCCGTTGCTGAATGTCTTCAGTAATGGCTCCTTCGAAACATGGCACTTGATTTCAAGTTGAACAGCCAAGGGACGAACATTTTAAAGCAAAAGGTATATTTCATATATTGCTGTCTTAACTCTAGTCCTTGTCCTGCGGAATACCTTTGATGCATAGTTATAATGCTGAACTTTGAACCATAAATTACTGCCCAATCTGTGTCCAGTATTTGACCTAAAAGGTTGAAGAAACAAAATTCGTATGCTGGACCTTTTCTATGTCAACATATTACCACTTGCCAAATGGAATCCTATGTGATAATGTCTGTGCTATGTCCACAACTTCAACCTATCAAACTCTTTAGGGATGATGTTTTTCAGATTATAGTATTACACTGAAACAGAGCATTTTAAGGATATATAAGCTGGAGAAATCTTTTCTCAGCATTCATACCATTTATGAGATACATTACATTTATCAGTACACCTGGCTCAAAAAAAGCAGATTATCGCATTGAACTGGGGATTAGCTTCCCTTTTGAATGGAGTGCAATTCCTTGTTCAGCATCTTGTATAGGAAGTACTGTATAGTTCCATAATATGCCCTAAAAATTTAGGATACATATAGTGATGCTCCCAAGCTCATTTTTCATCATTAAGAACAGGATTGGGCACTCGAGATATACATGCACCAAAAGCAAGTTGCTACAGATTTTGCATATAGGTAAAATTTTCTGTTTGTGAAGGATTTATGAAAATAAATCAGTTTTACTAACAAGTTGTCTCTTTATGGAGAGTTACAGTGGCGTAAACATGGAATTGGTTTACATGTATAATAAAAGTTTATGTGAAACTGAGTTTCATTAGTTTCGTTAGTCATCATTGTTTTACTTCAATTGATGGTAGAAAGGGAAAATGGGAACCTTACATGTAAGCCTTCGTGATGGTATTCTATACATAAACAATAAAGTAACTTGCGGATCTTTAATATTTTAAAAATATTATGTGTTATATACTTCATGTACAGTTTATTTTTATTAACTTATTAAATTATAATT